GAAGATCAACAAAAGAAGAGTAGAAATGGCGACAATAGCAAAAGGCAAGTGTTGGGGACTCATGAGCTTAACCCTTGCATCAACAACGAGAAATCTTCCAAGCCTCCTGCCATATTCATCATAGATGACAGTTGATGTCATTATTAGGAGAGATGTATTAAGCAGCTTAATGTAGGAGAGTAACAGGAAGGTGATGAAGGCATCTTTTATTGTTCTCTTGATGTGCCACTTGCGTCTTAGCATTTTTGTGTGGTATAGAAAAGGCTTGCAGAGACAAACGAGTGGTTTAAAACCTCTCTCATAAGCAGTAACAAGTCCATAGAAGAAAATCAAGAGAAGAAGAGGATAAACAGCAACCAGGTAGTCCAAGGCAATCACCTGCATTGTTGTAAGAGGCAGGCATAAAGGGGGAATAAGAGCTCGAAAGAAGTCCAGGTTCCATATTCCATACACGGTAGCAATGAACTTTGTGAATGTGAACAAACCTGTGTTCCTTGTACGATTTAAGAAATTGGCCATAAAAAATGGAGAAGAGAGAAATTGACAACAGAGCACCGGGACATTCAGAGCTGGAGAAGTGATACTGATCCGAAACAGTAGAATAACAGCAAGGAATAATGAGAGAGGGAGAAAGGCACAGGCAATGTATTGAAGAACACTGCTCAATATACTACAAGTGCACTGGTGACATTTTAGTACATACGAGTAAGCTGATATTGTGTGGTTTGGGTTGCACTGGCTACAGAGTCGTCCATGGCGGTTGGCAAGACCGCATGTCTTGTTGTCTTGCGCAGACCTGTCTGCCAATATCTTGTAATAGTTACCATCTGGACCCATGACCCTTTGTACATCATGGTTGACTGATGCCATGCAGTTCCCAATCACACCAATGTTGCTTTCATCCCCATCGGACGTCATGCAGTACTGTAGCTGAAGACGAACCTCTCTTGTCTCGTTACTGCACAGTATGGCATTCCGGACATTGGCACCACACACACAGTTACCACCAGATGACAGGTGAAACCAGGTCAGTGAGCAGTTGTCCTCAGCACAGGTCACTGCCAGAAAGAAGCTCAACCACACAACCTGCCACATTGCTACTAGTGTGTTTCTTCACATTCAGTACTACTTAAGAGCAAGGTGAAAAGAGCAAGGTGAAAAAAACTAAACTGCTTTTAAACCATGCACTTTCAGAAGCTCAACAACACCACCTGCCACACTGCTACTAGTGTTTTGTTTTGCACGTTTTTGATAGTAAAACATGCAAGTGCTACAGCATAAACATCCATTTGTGCAGGTGAAAGAAAAACTTTACTGCTTGCTTTACAATTTTACAGTTTATTTTTTCCAACAAGTTTCTATCTTGCTGAAAGAGATTATGTAACTATACAAGATCATGGCACGTCATTTGTTTAGAACGTCAAGGACTTAGGCTAATTATGTAGGCTAATATCTGACTCATAAGTTTGTATTCAAAGGTATAGTAGGAGAGGATTTTTTACTAGTACACTGACACTCCCAACTCAGTGTTCACATATCTGGTTAGGGCATTACCAATGTAATGTAAAGTTGCCCGAGAGACACTGCGATCATTCTGTACGAACAATGAAGGAGGGTACTAATGAAGTAACTGAGAATTATTAAAGCATTAGGATGTGCATGTGAACAGATGTATTAGGGAAAGATAGCCAGCAAACTAAACAAGTGCTATTTAGGTGTCAGTTAATGTTTGCCTGGGAGCTGTTCCAACAGCTTCCTTGGCCCTTTTGTAAAAGCCACAATGCTGGTTGATTGCAAGGGACTTTTCTGCCTCTGACCTTTCCTCAACCAATCTATGAGAAACTGTTTGGAGCTTTGAAGTCATGTCAACTGATCGAGCCTTTGTTCCAAAAACTCTTATGCCGGGTCCTCTAAAAATGGAACTTGGCAGCTACATTGGTTTAGATAGTGTGGTAAGTTCTCAAACTATAAGTTTGTACAAAAAAGCATAATGGCTTGTGAAGTGGACAATGTGCACAAGCAAGTTATGCCTGTACAGCTGTAGTTTAATGCACCAGTCATCTCTGTCTTGTCTCCTTGCTTTTTACATCACCTGAAGTTTAGGTCATTGTTAGTAGATAAGCCATAAAACTACCTAGCTACTGCCTTAGTGTTGTAGAGTAAGTGTTTTGTGATGTGTAGTGAGATTGTTTGAAGGTGGTTCTTTCAACCCATCCATGCACAATATATCCTCTCACTACATGGGCAGCATCAACTCATAGTGAAAGTTTACATGTTTAAAACTCACATAGCACCAACACATTCACTATATAGTAGATTGGCCTTCATACTACAAAGTCATCACTAAATCCCATTGAGCTAAAGACCGTGCAATGTGTAACGACATGCAATGCCAGGCTTCACCTATCCCATGCCCTATTGTGCAGCTCATTATCATGACTATGTGGGAATGTTGAACTGTGCACAACAAGGCAGGCCTGGGATTAATGATAAAAACAAAACACTTTGAGTTTAAATCGAGATTTGCATTTATAAGCGTAATGAAAAGCACTAAAGTGCAAACCCTCAGCGGTAAACTAGCGAGTTGTAGCATCGCTGTATGCTGGGCCGTGCGTCATCGACAGAGCCAGTAACACGAGTCTCACCGTAACACAGGGTAGTTGCATTAGCGGTTAGAGCAATAGCTCAGGTGTTTCAGAGGCTCTCATATTTCAATCTATCCTGCTCTTCTGTGTTTCAATGCTCTCACCAGGCGTTTTATAGATGGGAAGGCAAGGCCGCAACCACAAACTGCTCGCCACCTGAACTATTGCTTGCTCAGAATGTTTATCGTTTATCCATAGGGAACAGAGATAAAAACTGACAGGAGGCCGTGGATCGTATATACAACCAAGCGCATGCTCCGGCGATTAATTGACATTACGCGTGCGCGCTATATAGCTATATAGCCTGCAGGAGAGGGCGCGTGCGCGATCGACCGCGCTTTGGCTTTTTCGCTTGTTCTCTGGAACGCAGTCGTTTCGGGATAATCGCCATATTAATCGGTAGACTCTCTATATAGGGATGACGCGGGTGAAATCTCACGTGATCCGCGTACAAAACGACTAAAAACTCGGTGAAATCACTCCCTAGGCCTTCAAAACATAGTCTACGGGCCCATATCTACCTATACATGTCCCCAAAGACCTCATACGCACCTTCAGTCGTCCACGCGAGAATTCGCTCATATATACGCGATTTCACGATTTTCGTGTCTTCATAATATTCTTGTTCTTCTTCTTTAGACCCGCTTTCTCCTTACTGGAACAAGTTGAAGCGCTAATTTTTTCACTGAACGTCTCCAATTTCGCCAGAGGTGTGCACGGACATCAAGCGATCGTTTCTTTCTCGCCGCTAGTCACTACGGTAGATCATGGAGCTCTTCCAAGGTCGACACTGAACAACGCCATTTGCTGCTAACTCAGCATGCGCCAGGCAGGGGCGTTGTCCACATGCGCTTGCGAGCGTATACCAGGCGAGTTGGCAGACCTGCGGAGGAACTCTCAGCCTCCAGTACCTTCTGTAAGTAAGTGTGCACATTTGCAACTGGCTAGCTTGCTGTTGATTTGCACGAAGAGCAACTTGCCAGAGTCTGCGCGGTGTTACGCGAGCCTTGCGGGGCGCCCAGCCAATCGTCCCCCCCCCCAAAGGTTGTAGCCTGATTACCAAAGCCTGCCCATGAAACCACAACCATGTGCAATAGTCTAATTACATCCGTGTTGACATGAGGTGAATGTGGTATCCAGCCCCTGCTTCAGGCACTAGCAGCCCCATTAGCTACTACTACAGTTACAATTTGTCTATGGTAGCCTATCTACAACATACCCATGAACATCAGAGTGACTGTAACAATAAATGCAGTGTTGTCATAAGCTGTTAAAAAATAGTGGAAACAATTGGAAAAATCATTTCTTCAAAATGAAAGGGGGATATAGGGATGGCTTGAAGCACCAAAAAGGAAGAAACAAGGGGTCATCACACAGCAAAGTTGCACAAAGCTACATGACACCATCCCTATATCGTTGTTTTATTGTTTATAAGCAACGTTTAATATTGAACAAAGATATAGGGATGGTGTCATGTATATATAGCTTTGTGCAACTTTGCTGTGTGATGACCCCTTGTTTCTTCCTTTTTGGTGCTTCAAGCCATCCCTATATCCCCCTTTCATTTTGAAGAAATGATTTTTCCACTTGTCAATAATAGTAGTGGATCTGCCTGGGCTTATATACATCTTGGGAACATTTGTGAAGCTGCTAGGAAGTGGGTAGCTATAGCGGCATGAGACTTATACAAAGGCAACCCTTTTATCGTTGTAGTGGGAGATAAATCATTTATACCATCGATGATATCCTACAGTTTTGCTTCTGGGGTAATGAAACAATGCCTCAAAAATGGCTAGAGTAATTGTGTAATTGCTAAACTGTGTTTATATGCTAGCTTTTGCATTCAAATTTTTATCACGCAACTCAAAAGACTATTATACTGACTTTTTATGATATGTTTATTGTTTCTTTCATTGCAAGTCAGTGTCTGGCAAGGTTCACAAACAAGAAGACGCCGTACTGTGTGAGGTTCAATCGCGACGAAGACAAACGGAACATCTTTCTCGTGGGCTGTGCCGACAAGAAAATGTACTGCGTAAGTGGATGTTGCTATTCCATACTCCAACTATAGTCCAACTATTGTGGATGGTTGGTTTGCCTTTTCTTCTACTCATGTTCTTTTAACAAATGCAAAACCATTAATACCCGGTTGAAGGAGGAAGGGGGCGTGGTTCAGGGTAAATGCTAACTCAAGGTGAATGTTACTTTTCCATACTCAGCTATAGTCAAACTAGTTGGTTTGTCTTGTGTTCACTGATGTTCGTTAGCAAAACCCTGAAAACCCTTTTTAAAGGGAATGTAGCAGTATATAAGGGCTAAATTGTTACTAAAAACCGAAACTTAATTGCATTCTTGCACTGGGTTCTATGTATTTTTAGTAACGTGAATTATATTGACACATTACTTTTAAAGTTTCTCACACTGTCCCTCTTCCTACAGTTCAACATAGATTCAGGGGAGATAGTGCAGGAGTACGATCGTCACCTCGGAGCCGTCAGCACCATCACGTTTCTAGATGGGAACAGGAGATTCGTCACAACATCTGACGACAAGAGCCTCCGCGTCTGGGAATGGTGCGTGGCTTTGATCTCACATGTAGGTCTCTAGAAACCTTGCAGTCTTTGCATGCAGTATTAATTATACGTTATTGAGTATGCATTGTTGTGTGTGCTGCTTTTCTAGGGATATCCCAGTGGATATGAAAGATGAGTACGTGGCTGAGCCTCATATGCACTCCATGCCGGCTGTGACACTCTCCCCTAATGGTGTGTATGGCACTTTAATCTCTAGTTCTGTATAATATATATACACAAGGTGTTTAGTTTACAAATCGTTATTAATTACATATGTATGTGCTTTTGTTTGTGCCCGCCCTGTCCCGCTCTCCCACACCCCTCACACACACACACACACACACACACACGCACACACGTCCACCAGAGAAGTGGCTGGCGTGTCAGTCAGTGGACAACACAATACTGGTGTACGGAGTCCACAACAACTTCAGACTCAACAGAAAGAAGAACTTCAAGGGGCAATGGTGGCTGGCTATGCCTGTTCTGCTGACTTCTCTCCAGAGGGAAGGTCTGCGCATCTTCATTCACGCCTATCTTTTTCTAATGTCCATTGACTTTTACCTCATTACTAAAGAGCTGTTCTCTAACACTTTTAATCATCCACATCTTTCTCTCTTTCCCCCTGACCCTCTCTCTCTCTCACCCCACCCCTCTTTTCTCTCTCAGTCTGGTGGTATCGGGTGATGCGGATGGGAAACTGACAGTATGGGAATGGAGAACCACTAGGATCGTGACAAGGTTCAAGGCGCACGACTCTGTGTGTATCAGTTGCCTATGGTTACCGCACAAGACATCAAAGATCATCAGTTGTGGCTGGGATGGGAAGATACATCTCTGAGACTGACTCACTAACTTCAATGTTCCACATACATAATTATTATACAAGTGGAAAAATCATTTCTTCAAAATGAAAGGGGGATATAGGGATGGCTTGAAGCACCAAAAAGGAATAAACAAGGGGTCATTATGCACCAAATATGCACAAAGCCACATGACACCATCCCTATATCTTTGTCTCATATTAAACTTTGCTTATGAACAATAAAACAAAGATATAGGGATGGTGTCATGTGGCTTTGCATATTTGGTGTGTAATGACCCCTTGTTTCTTCCTTTTTGGTGCTTCAAGCCAACCCTATATCCCCCTTTCATTTTGAAGAAACGATTTTTCCACTTGTTTCCACTATTTTTAATGGCTTATGACAACACTGCATTTTCAGTCACTCTGATGTTCATGAGTATAATTATGTTGTAGAGATAACTGAGCAGAAGCTAATGGACTGCTCTTACCTGAAGCAGCTAGGGTGTAATGCGCCTAGTGTCTCCAACAAGGACGCGATTAGGTTGTGGCACATATGGTTTCATTGGGCAAGCTTCAGAAATCAAGCTATAACCCAGGGGACAAAGAATGAAGGCGCCTGCGTAACACCGCGCAGATCGCCAAGTTTCTCCTCGTTCAAATCAACAGCAAAACGCAAGATAGCCACTTACAAATGTGTACACTGACTTACAGAATGCACTGGAGGATGAGAGTAGTTTTCTCTGCAGGCATCCAGTCCTGGCTTAGTCTCGTATATACTTTGTCTTGTATGGTCTCACTATGAGGATAATGGCAGCAGCGGTGATGCTGATTGAACTGCAAGCCATGAGGTAGCGTAAATTACGAATGTCCAAGATTAAAAAGTAAGCTATTATCCTAAGGCTTGGGTACAAAATTGAAAAGTACCTGCACTCCCACCCACCATCAGCCCTGTCTCGATAGTAGCCCTGAAATGATTCCATACACAGCCGCAGACCTGGTCTGTTGAGCCCCATTCTGTTCAGGAGTCTCTGGAACCACATCATTGGATAGAGCGAGCAACTGGAGAAGGGTTGGCATGAAGATCAACGAAAGAAGAGTAGAAATGGTGACAATAGCAAAAGGCAAGTGTTCGGGACTCATGAGCTTAACCCTTGCATCAACGAGAAATCTTCCGAGCATCTTACCATATTCATCATAGATGACAGTGGATGCCATTATTAGGAAAGATGTATTAAGCAGCTTAATGTAGGAGAGTAACAGGAGGGTGATGAAGGCATCTTTTATTGTTCTCTTCATGTGCCACTTGCGTCTTAGCATTATTGTGTGGTATAGAAAAGGCTTGCAGAGACAAACGAGTGGTTTAAAACCTCTCTCATAAGCAGTAACAACACCGTAAAAGAAAATCAAGAGAAGAAGAGGATAAACAGCAACCAGGTAGTTCAAGGCAATCACCTGCATTGTTGTAAGAGGCAGGCATATAGGGGGAATAAGAGCTCGAAAGAAGTCCAGGTTACAAATTCCATACACGGTAGTAAAAACCTTTGTTAATGCGAACAAACCTTACTTGTTTGTCTCTGCAAGCCTTTTCTATCCCACACAAAATGCTAAGAGGGAACGCGCAAATTTTTACACGCTGCCTAGCTGTCATATCGATGCGAAATATAGCCAGACAAAGAACTCTCGTCTATTTGCTGCCATTCGCTGCGCTCTTCGATACATTGCCGAGGCTGTACCTGGCCGAGGCTGTCTATACCTCCTTCCAATCTTTGTGATTTTCTAAGGTTCAAAGTTGTAGGATGGCTCGTGCAGATAGAGTCATTGTGTACTCGCTCCCGCTCGCCAAAAATGCCATGCATTCGCCTACTAGTATATAAGACCATGCTATGCTAGTAGCTCGCGGAGAGTCAGGCACGGGCTAGCTACAGTAGTAGATTGCATGCGGGAGTCGATACATGCCCTTCGTTGACTTCTTGTGCCTTCAAGATACACCGAGCGAGCGGACGCGGTCGAGGTAAGCCTGTGCTAATTTGCATATTAGCTCCTTGACTTGCTTTTCACGCTATAACTTTCGAACGCAGTATTTTAACCAAAATCGTTGCAGTGTGGCACTGAACCCGTTGGTATCGCTCTTTGGCCGTCTTAATCACCGGAGCATGCGCTTATATACGATCCACGGCCTCCTGTCAGTTTTGATCTCTGTTCCCTATGGAAACGATAACTATGTTGAGCAAGGTATGTTCGCAATGTAGCATAATAGTTCACGTGGCGAGCAGTTTGTGGTTGCGGCCTTGCCTTCCCATCTACAAAACGTCTGGCATTGAAACACAGAAGAGCGGATAGATTGAATAAAGCAAATATGAGAGCTACTGAAACACCTGAGCTATTGCTCTAACCGCTAATGCAACTACCCTGTGTTACGGTGAGACTCGTGTTACTGGCTCCGTCGATGACGCACAGCCCAGCATACAGCGATGCTACAACTCGCTAGTTTACCGCCGAGGGTTTGCACTTTAGTGCTTTTCATTTTATTAAGCGTTAATAATAATTAGTAAGGTGTCCTTTATTATTGGGGAAGCTTTGGGATAAAAATTAACCTGAAGGTGTAAGTGTAGGCTTATCTTCAGCTTTAGTGTCGGAGACCCAGATTGCAGCATCGATGCAGCACTGCATGTGGTAGCTGGTGTCCTCCTTGGTCCAGCACTCCCTGCAGCCTGGGCATGTTCTCTGTCACAAAACACTCCTCCAGTGATTACACAGAAGGGCTAAAAATATTTTCATTCTTTTACTGGGCCCTTCTAACATTTTAAAGTTAGCTCATTGTGACAGTTGGACAGTTTTTGCACGCTGCCTTATAGTAAGCTATATTTTCTATGTATGGTTGGGTACAGCCGATCCTGTATAATTATACCTTACCTACATTCTAAACAGCCAAGTCAGGTGGGGGCTGGGAGAGTGTCACATAATGAACAGAATAGGGCTCAACAGCCCAGGTCTGCGGGTGCATATAAATAAGTGTTTTGTTCTTAGCATTAATCCCAGGCCTGCCTTGTTGTGCACAGTTCAACATTTCCACATAGTCCAAGTCATGATAATGAGCTGCACAATAGGGATCAATGCATGTCATTGCATATTGCACGGTCTTTTAGCTCAATGGGATTTAGTGATGACTTTGTGAAGGCAAACACTAATCATCTACTATAAAATTATAGTGAATGCGTTGGTGCTATAATTATAGCAAAAGTACACACATTCATAACGTTGAAGTCTCATGGGATTTTGCAACAGCTGCTCATGTGAATTTTAAAAATGTAAACTTTCACTATGAGTTGATGCTGTCCATATAGTGAGAGGATATAATGTGCATGGATGGTAGGAAATTAGACAACCACCTTCAAACAATCTCACTACACATCACAAAACACTTACTTTAGAACACTAAGGCAGTAGCTAGGTAGTTTTTATCCTGTTATGGCTTATCTACTAACAATGACCTAAACTTCAGGTGATGTAAAAAGCAGTGGGACAAGACAGAGATGACTGGTGCATTAAACTACAGCTGTACAGGCATAACTTGCTTGTGCACATTGTCCACTTCACAAGCCATTATGCTTTTTTGTACAAACTTATAGTTTGAGAACTTACCACACTATCTAAACCAATGTAGCTGCCAAGTTCCATTTTTAGAGGACCCGGCATAAGAGTTTTTGGAACAAAGGCTCGATCAGTTGACATGACTTCAAAGCTCCAAACAGTTTCTCATAGATTGGTTGAGGAAAGGTCAGAGGCAGAAAAGTCCCTTGCAATCAACCAGCATTGTGGCTTTTACACAAAAGGGCCAAGGAAGCTGTTGGAACCCCTCCCAGGCAAACATTAACTGACACCTAAATAGCACTTGTTTAGTTTGCTGGCTATCTTTCCCTAATACATCTGTTCACATGCACATCCTAATGCTTTAATAATTCTCAGTTACTTCATTAGTACCCTCCTTCATTGTTCTTACAGAATGATCGCAGTGTCTCTCAGGCAACTTTACATTACATTGGTAATGCCCTAACCAGATATGTGAACACTGAGTTGGGAGTCTCAGTGTACTAATAAAAAAATCCTCTCCTACTATACCTTTGATCAGATGAATACAAACTTATGAGTCAGTATATTAGCCTACATAATTAGCCTAAGTCCTTGACGTTGTAAAGAAATGACGTGCCATGATATTGTATAGTTACATAATCTCTTTCAGCAAGATAGAAACTTGTTGGAAAAAATAAACTGTAAAATTGTAAAGCAAGCAGTAAAGTTTTTCTTTCACCTGCACAAATGGATGTTTTATGCTGTGGGCATCATGCATGTTTTATTATCAAAAAACGTGCCAAAATAAAACACTAGTAGCAGTGGGCAGGTGGTGTTGCCAACCCAAACACACAATATCAGCTTACTGTATGTACTAAAATGTCACCAGTGCATTTCTAGCATGAAGCAGTGTGTTCTTTCAATACATGACTGTTGCCCTTCTCCCACTTCCACTTATTTCCTGTGTTATTCTACTGTTCGGATCATACACTTCTCCAGCTCTGAATGGTGCCATGATCTTGTTATAGTTACATAATCTCTTTCAGCAAAGATAGAAATGTTGGAAAAATAAACTGTAAATTGTAAAGCAAACAGTAACGTTTTTCTTTCACCTGCACAAATGGATGTTTATGCTGTAGCACTTGTGTTTTACTATCAAAAACGGTGCAACACAAAACAATAGTAGCAGTGTGGCAGGTGGTGTGTTTGTTGAGCTTCAAAGTGCTGGTTTTCAAAGAGTTATTTTTGCACCTTGCTCTTTTCACCGCTATAAGTAGTTATGAATGTGAAGAAGAAACACAAACCCCAGTAGCAATGTGGCAGGTTGTGTGGTTGAGCTTCTTTCTGGCAGTGACCTGTGCTGAGGACAACTGCTCACTGACCTGGTTCACCTGTCATCTGATGGTAACTGTGTGTGTGGTGCCAATGTCCGGAATGCCATACTGTGCAGTAACGAGACAAGAGAGGTCGTCTTCAGCTACAGTACTGCATGACGTCCGATGGGGATGAAAGCAACATTGGTGTGATTGGGAACTGCATGGCATCAGTCAACATGATGTACAAAGGTCATGGTCCCAGATGGTAACT